AAAAAAAAAAAAAAAAACCAACATTACCAAATTTGATATGACATAGCATTTGCAGAAAACATATATATATAGTAGAAAACAACATACATTCAACTTAAAGCACTACCTTGTGCCTACCACTTATTGTATCCATCTTTGCAGGTAAAGATAGGACAAACTGAAGTATGTATTTTGGGCATTTCATCTCCATGATCAATACAATTAATTCAGATATAATTTGAACAAAAGAAATTCTAATGCTTAAGTCACAGAACTGCTCTTAGTGATATAATGCCACGGCTTATGCAAGAAGATTGGCACAAATTAACCTTTGACCCCGAGAAATGGCTACAGCCTTGTAGTCCCCAGCTCCATCCCCCGTCCCAACTCAGAAAAATTGGCAATCTAATGGAAATCAATAAATATGAAATCAGAACAGAACATGTACATAGGTTTTTTACAAAAATAGCTTTCACTATTCACTCTTAAACAAGCCTCAATTGCATTTGTTTAAGTTCACATCTTCACACTATGAATAACACCATTCACATTTTCCGAAGGTCCTATACAGTTGAAAATCTCTCTTTAGACACTGAGGCAAAGAGATAATAAGCATTAAACAAACCAATATACCCTAAAGCCAAATGGCTTAACACCCTCATTACGATCAGATATCAGGAAATTGTGGCTACAAGGCTCGTGTCATATGACTCATACCAATTACCCTTGTTGAATCTGCACACTATCAAATTCAAAGTCACAGAATCTGACTTTTTTCTCTGCAAAACATTAGAATACACAAATTCTAGAACCAAAACCACCAACCAGAATCAACACACAAAAAGCTTAAATCTTGTGGCTGTAAAATTAATTGCACGTATATTAAAAACCCAAATTCCAATTTTATTTTTTTTGCAAAATCAATAATTGAAATTTGAAAGGTGACACAGTTCTGAACAACAACACGCACCATCTTGTCATAACCTTCAATCAGTTTAGTGTAATCAACCCTGCCTCCGCCCCCACCACCATTCTTCTTCTCCCCACGCTTTCTACACTTCTCCGCCCTCTGCCCTGGCGACCCGCTCCTCGACCTCTTCTTACTCCTCTCTCTGTCTCTTTCCCTGCTCCTACTCCTAGACTGATGTTTACGCCTTGACCCATAATCCTCCCGGCTACTGCTCCTTCGCCTTGCCCGCCTATCCCGACTCCGGTGACGATGCCTTGAATAACTATTTGGGCTTTGGCTCCTGCTCCTACTCCGGCGCCTAGAATATCTAACTGGGCTTCGGCTTCGGCTCCTGCTACGGCGTCTTGCATGTCTATCTCTAGTTTTATCTGGACTCCGACTCCGGCTCCGGCGGCTTGGGTTTCGACTACTTTTATCATGGTTTGGGGGTTTTACGGTAGGTGCTTTGTTAAGCTTGTTTTGGATAGACTCGAGCTGGGCTTGTTTCTGGAGACTGGAGGAGGTGGTGGGACTGGAGGCTTTGACGAAACTGCTGAGAAAAGATGAGGTGGTAGGAAGAGCGGAGCCTCTGGGTGTAACAGTGTTGTTGGCAGGAGTATTGGAAGAGAATCCAAGACCTTGTTTGAATCTGGCGGCGCCACCGCCTTTCTGAGTTAACTCGTCATAGTACGCCGCCAATTTGTCGTCCTCCATTTGCCTGAAGTGGCAGCGGAAGCGGAAATGCCGGTGAGAATGCTAGGAATTGGTCTATTTTGACTTCTGGCGACCCAGCAAAAAAGTTCGCAGAAACGTTTAAAAAAAGAAAAAAGAAAAAAAGAAGGGAACTGAAACCGAAACGGAAAGCCAAGAAGGAAGGGCCAAAACAAAAGCGTCAAATAAAAAAAAAGGGAAAAAATTCATTTATAAGATGTTATGCGCCATTTTAAAAATAAGAAAACAAGTTTCAAATTTAAAAAATCAGATTTTTTAAAAATTTTTATTTATGAATTAATAAATTATTAAATAAATTTATTAAGACCATGTTCGGGAGGGATTAAAAGTCAATTAAAATTGAAAATATGACCGTTATTGAGTCTCACTCGTCTAATAAAAGTCAACAATAACGGCTATATTTTTAATTTTAATCCGATTTTAATCCCTCCCATACAAGGCCTAAATATTTAATTCTAATATAATATAATTAATCCACCACATCTACATCACCCCTACTGCTCCGGTGATTATTCTGGCGATCGTTCCAACCACCACTCTTCTCCGACGACTTTTCGATGACTATTCCGGCGACCGTTCCGTCTACTGCTCCGATTCTGATGACTATTCCAGCGAACTTTCCGCAAATTTTCTGGTAACTTTTTCGATTCCGACAATTATCTATTTTATTAATTAAATATTTAATTATTTTATTAATTAAATATAATAATGTTACAATTATACAATTAATGGTCACAAATACATAGTTAATTGGTCATATACTATTTTTGAGGTCACAAATCAAAAAATTTATAAGTCACGATTATTTTATTGGTCACATATAAAAAAATTACAGGTCGCGATTATCTATTAGTCACATATTTTCAAATTTATTGGCCATAGATTAATTTTTAGTCACAATTTTAATATCACAGTTAGATTTTTTTTGTGACCACCACCAATTTCTGTGACCACTCCCGTCACAAATTAATTTTTAGCCACAATTTTAAGGTCGCCACCAATCAGATCTATGACCACCCTCGTGACCACCACCGATTTCTGTGACCACTACAAACTTCTGTGACCAATCCTGTGACCACTACAAACTTCTGTGACCAATCCTGTGACCACCACCTCACCACTGCCATCGGTTAAATTTTAATGTCACATTTAGATTTTTTTTGTGACCACCACTGACTTCTGTGACCACCTACGTGACCACCGCCGTCGCCGCATCGCCGCTGCAATCACCACAACCACTACTAACACCGACACTGTCACCACCAACGTCGACCACCAATTGTACCACTACAATCGCTGCCAAAACTGCCAACACTATCCGAAGGTAACACCGCTGTCTAAAAAACAAATCGACACCCGGACACCACCAAAACCACCCGACCACAACCATCGACACCCCACACAACACCACCGCACACAGCCAGAGGCACCACGACCAGCAAAAGACACTACCAGGGCCCAAAAACTAGATCGCCCAAACCATTGTAGCCATCAACTGTGAACGCCGCTTCCATTTTCATATCTACCGTCCCCAACCAGTAACGCATACACAGCCACCACCATCACAGCCCAAAAATCATCGCAAACGATACCACCAACACTCAGCAAGCGGCGCTGTGAACACCGCTGTGTCTTTCACAGTGAAGGTTTGAATCGAACAATGGTGTTGCTTCTTCTGCGATCGGCAACGGGAGAGCGACAACATCACGTGCAGCGAAGAGGAGAAAGAAGAGCGGCGACGATGTGAAGTGAGGTGAAGAGAGAGACGGGTGAGCGGCACAGAAAAATGACGATCGGCGCTCGTCGCCGAATCTACAGCCGTTTAGAGAGACAGTGATAGACGAGAGAATAGAGATTTAGAGAGATAGAGAGAGATGGAAGAGAATTAGGGGTTGTGATTGAAATTGTGTGTGGAATTGTTATATTTAATAAAAATATTAATTTTATATCTATATTAATATTATGTTTAATTAAATAACTTCTGATTTTGGAAATACCAAACTTCCAATCTAATTTTTGAATATTGAATAGTTAAAGTATGATTTTGTGTAAGTTCCACAAAAAAAAAAATGTCCAAACTTTTTTTAAATACCCAACTCTCTCAGCCCAAAACAAAAGGGCCAAAAAAAGGCCCAATGATTTACTTCTTCCATTCTTCTTCTAGTCTTCTCTCTGCACCCAACAGTATTGAACTCTTAGCATCCAATCTCAACCATGGTTTCCCTTTTCCACTTTTCCACTCCAGTGGAGTACTGGACCCGGATGCAGATCCCTACACAAACCTTCAAGATTATCGTTGTCGAGTCCGTGTTGATTCCATCGGTGCTCTACTCCAACATTCCCGACGAAAACTAGTAAATATGGAGGATATGAACTCAGGGCATGTTTGTTTTTTATTCTCAAATTCTACAGTAGATCAATTTTCATTTTCAATCACACATTCTTTAATAAAATAATATTATCCATTACGTCAATAATTTTTTCTTCTTTTTCAATCACACATTTCTCATCATATCACTATTCAAAAATCAATTTTTCCCCAAAAAATCCCTACCAAACAAGCACTCAATTCATAGATTATGTACCTATTTTGAATTCTCATCCAGTACTCGAGTTTTCCTATGTACCTGTGAGCTCTCCATTTTGTTAAATCAATTACCATCACGTCGGTGTTGAAATAACATGGGTTACGGCCTTTGAATAATGTGGAAATGCTGGACTATACCATAATCTTGATGCAAAAGTAATGGTTGAAATTAGTACGACAATCTTCTTCCCGTCTTCTCTCTGCAATAGCAACAGTGACCTGACGCCCGATGGTATTGAAGACTCCGGCGGATCCAGCAGGGCGATCGCACTCCCTCGCCTGGTGCTGGGTCCGCCCATGACCTAGTCTATTTTTACAGGGGGGTACTTACAAAAATACCCTTAAAATTAGGGGTGTTTTGAAAAATCATGTGAAAGATTTTTAGAATGTAAAAAATATTATGTAAAATGAAAAAGTGACACAATGTCACTTTTTTTTTATAAAAATTGTCACTTTTTTACTTTTTTTAGTAAAAAAGTGACACAAACTAAAAAAAGTAACAAAATTCAAAAAAAGTGACACACTCTAAAAGTGATACAAATTCAAAAAAGTGACAAATACTTTTAAAAAATGACGAAACACCAATCAAAACCTATGTTTGTTATTCAAAAAAGTGATAAATTTTTTTTAAAAAGTAACAAACAATAAAAAGTGACAGAAAAAATGAAACGCATAAAAAAGTTACAAACACACAAAAAAGTGATAAAATTGTCACTTTTTTTAAAAAAAGTGACATAATGTCACTTTTAAAAGTTTAGTGTCATTTTACAATCTCACTTTTATTAAAAAGTGATGTTTGTTACTAAAAAAATAATTGAAATTTCAAGAAGGCGACTGAAAAAAGTGACAAAAAAAAAGTTACATAAATTCAAAAAAGTCACAAACACTCAAAAAAGTGAGAAACACTAATCAAAAACCAAAAAATAGATCCAAGGATAGTTAACTTGCTTTTATATGTTGTCTCTTTGTAATTATGTTTCACTTATATTAACTAAATGTAGAACATAACTTCATTTTAAGAACACACATATAAATTAGAAATGCTAGAAATTAAAAAAAGTAATAGAAGTAACAAATTTACGTTCGCTAAGTAAAGTTTTTAAACTACAACTCCAAGTAACTAACAAAAACTTGTATTCTTTCCAAGAACTTCAATGCCTTCTCCAAATTATGGCCTTTCACCAGAGCATAAATTGTAGTATTGCATATGGACAGATCAAGTTCTACTCCCGCTTTTTGCATTAGAGTTAATATCTGCATAGCTTTTCTAATATCCCCAGCCCTACTGAAAGAAATCATCGCACAACCAAAATCTTCAGGCCTACACTCAATCTTCCTCTTTACCATAAGCTGGAGCACCCTCTTAGCCCCCTGACATAACTTAGTCTTACTAAGAACTTGAAGCATTGCATAATACACAATTGGATCATGTCTGTACCGCCATTGACTATCTGCCCAATAAAAGAACTTCAAAGCAACCCTTTCATCAGACTGAGCCCTCAGTATAGCACAAACTTACCTAGGCTTCAAACTTCTCAACAAGGGCCTCAACTCTCCTTCAAGCCCTTTTCTCTAATCTCAACATATCCATATTCAACATCATCTCTTTCCAGAGACTGCCCACAAACTTTAGGGTTCAAAACTAAAGGAAAGTTCGGGTTTTTACATGATTGTGACGAAAAACACGTAATAGCTCCATTACAAGTAAGTTGGCTTTCGTGAAAATTGTCCCCAAACCAAGTAAACTTACTGAATTGGCGAAATCTAATAAGGGTTTCTCTGATTTTGTTATGAACATTGGAACTAAATGGCATTCAGAATCTGATGGAAGGCGTCCCTTGATTGAGCAGGTTGTGGGAATAACATTGCTTGTTTCATCGAAGGGTTGGCGAGTAATCTCTGTTTCCTCAAAATTTCTTCAATGGG